GACAGCTTTCTCTTGACAGATGGAAATCTGAGGCTATTTTGCTTCCTCCCCCTTTGCGTGACCAGACCTGATTGTGTAAAGCTTTTAGCTTCAAAGCCGGGTTGTGAATAACATTGGTTTAACCTGAAATTTAAAGGCAGCATTTCTTTGCTCCCCGAGACGGGGCTTCCTGCCCCTTGCTCCCCTGAAGCTAGCTTCCAGAATGTTAATTCTACCAGCCATGGTTGACTAAGCCCAGCACTGGGTCTATTACATATTATTTGATTTGGAGTAGAAAAAAGATTTAAAGATACCAGGCCCCCTGTATACCTTTGTACTTTTGCCCATGTCTGTCCATATATTTAAGCATACTATTCACATTGCGAGTTCAGACTTTTCTCCCTGGAATAAAATGGGTCTGAGCATTTCTGTAGGCTGCCTCCAAGACCACATTCCCGATGAAGTCGCATCACAGCTCTGTGGCACAGATAAAGAATGCCACGGAAGATTCTACTGGAGGCCTGGAGTATCAGACCTGCCCTCGTGCAGGGCATGATTTTCTGGTGTTTACTTTCGTGGCTGTCTTGAGCGTGTTGTGGGTTCTTTGGTTCACACTGACTGTCACCCACTGTGGGCCGCACCCTGAGGCAGGTCAGCCATGTTGCTGGTCTCTGAGCACCATGAACCTCTTTGTTAGAGAATTTTGTCTTGGTTGATACCTCCTTTACTGGTCTGATTGTTTTTCCATTAATGTGTGTCTCTTCCACTGGATATAACTCCATGAGGACAGAGCTAGGCCAGCTGTTGTCCATAGCTGTATGACAGTGTTAACAGTATTTGCTTACTAAGGTTAGTTTAGGGAAGAATGAATGAATGAATGAGATGGAGGGATCCTGACATCTGCAGACCAGACATGCAGAGTGAAGGTGGTTGTCAAAGGTATTAGTAATGTGTTCATTTATTTATTTTTGAAATAAATGTTGGACCTCCCTGGTGGCTCAGGGATTAAAGACACAGTGCTATCAAGCTATTGCCAGCCACTACAACATGAGTTCGATCCCCAAACAGGAGCTGATCCATATGGTGCAGCAGACCTCTCCTGGGGTGCCCGCTGCTCCCCTCAGCAGTGTATTTCAGTACATCTGCCTGTTCTGCCCCCCACTCTCTCTCTCACTCCCCATACTGTTATAGGACAGCCCAATATTGAACGGGTTCCTGGCTGTGGGTCCTCACCCGCGTGCTTAAAAGGGACTTATGAATACTCCACTACAGGCACACACAAAAGGTTAATAAAAGGTTTATTTACAAGGGAAAAGGAAATAAGGAAAATGTACAGCTCAGGGAGAAAATAGGGAAATAAAGTCTTTAATGCGTCCTACCCGATCCGCCGACCTGGAAACCCAAAGTCACTCTCAGAGCTGGCCGGACGCTGCTAGCTGGTGGAGAGCCAAAATGGGAGCCCCCAAAGTCACTCTCAGAGCTGGCCGGACGCTGCTAGCTGGTGGGGAGCCAAACTGGGGGCCCCCCCCAAAGCCCACGTATCTGCCTTTATACCAACTTGGCTGCTTAACCCCACCCTCAGGTCCCAGCCACCTTCCCTTTGGTGGTGATGGGATTTGGAGTTCCCAGTGTCTTTGGCTTTGGCCTGGGGTGGGGGTGGAGTCCACAAAGCCTGTATGGAATTAGATTTAGGACATCCTTTTCCGCCTAACAATACCTCTTGCCTCACTCCCTATACCTCTCCCCATACCTCTGTATGCATAAATAATCTTTAAAAAAATAAAATAAATGTTATTTATTCCACAAATATTCCCTGGATGGGAATAGAGGAGACAGAGATGATTTAACTCTGGTTTCTCCCATCCACCAATGTAACCAATAATATAGTGTGGGGGTGAAGGGCCCAGGGAACTTGACTCCTAAGATGTGGAAGACAGTGGTCAGAGTCTTGAGAACTAGAGAACGAAGTGACTATGCATGAAGGAAGGCATCCTGGCAGACATGGCACGCGACTTCCGGCTCCCTCTCTGTCCTAGCAACAGTGCTCACATCAGTGAGGAAGGGCTTGCCTTTCCACTGTGGGGTGGTCACCTGTAGCTGACAGGATAAATGTATGCTCTACCTTCAGACTTCCACAAATGCAAAATTCATGTTATCAGCACCTAGTCTTTCCAAAAGATGAAGCTTGGGAGCAGGTCTGATGTAAAGGAATTAGGGATTTGGGCCCTGGGACTGCAACATGTGGAGGGTTATTCCCTTACCCCACTCTGGAGGACCCAGAAGGCTAACATCCACTCCGTGGCCTCGGTCGTGACCACTGGCTGTCTCTCCAGAGAATCCTGGGGTCTCTTCCCATTATTCTCAGCTCGGTCCATCTACCTCTCATCTCCTGGCCTTTGCAAAGCCATTTTCCTCTGCTGGGCATACCCTCTCCACTGCTGCCTGCTTTTGCCCTACTGATGCCTTGTCTTGGACTCTCAAGCAAGACTCCTGCTTGGAAGACTCCCCAATTCTCCGCGAAGTCACACCATAGTCATTGTATGTATTTCTAGATTTTTCCACTTAGTATGAATCACCATTTGTAACCATGTCTATTTGGGTGAGTACTTAACTGAAACTGGCTGCCCTTTCTGATTGGAAAGAAAGGCTTGTCTGGCTAAAAAACTATTACCTACTACAGAGTAAGCACTTTATCAATATTTCTTAAATGAATGAATAAATAATGACATGTTGAGGAGGTGAGGCCACCTGCATTGGGAGTGTGCATGGTGTCCTTGTGGGAGTGGCCTCCAAAGACCCCTCCCCCCATGCAAATTCATGGGTGGGCCACGCACCCGAGCATTTACTCTGTGGAGGATCCTACTCGGTGACCAGTGACCTGGCCTGCAGGGGCCACACTTGCCGAACTTCCTCAGTGGAAGTCTGTGCCCTTTCAGATCTCTGAGCCAAAGTCCTGCCTGTCATGCCTTTGGGAGAGGAACAGAGCTTGAGGACATCTGGGAGAGGACAGTGTGGTTAGCAGGGAGAGGTTTCCTGGAGGGCCAGGGTTGGGGCATGTTGAATGGTGCAACCTGAGTGGGAAGGAAGAGATGGGCAGTGCCCAAGGGGTGGGGGGTGGATTGAGGCCTTGGTGAGAGTCATCATCAGTAATTGAATGACAAAGGAGCTTTTGCTAAGGCGTGGGGCCTAGCTGCCAGAATAGGTTTGGGAGGTATGAGTGAAGTTGATGGACAGGGAGAAGTCTTTTAAAAGTAGATGTGGTCTATCTGATAGTTTGAGTACTGAGGACTGAGGCCAAGGTCCAGCTTTGGCAGCAGTGCCTGGGCCAGGGTGGTTGGCCAGAGCAATAACTGAGGGGAAACAAGTTCAGCCATCTTTGTGTATATGTGTATGTGTATTAGGGTCATTTGGTGGGTGCCAACCAATTGGAAAATATTGCTGGGCCCAGATGGGGCCATGAACTCCCATATTCTGCTAGTCTTGCTGCTTTTGTAGGGATGAATGCATTTAGGGTAAGCCATGATGGGAGAGGATGCTGCTCTGGGAATAGGAACAGGACTTGTCACATGGAAATCCAGTGTCAAAGGCTGTCAGTGGAGGAGGGCCTAGGCTCTGGGATGGGGGACATTGGCCAGAGAGGTCAGCTTCTGCCTTGGCCCACATGCTGGGTTGTCTGGTCAGTCAGGCTTAGCCTAGCCTATGGCATTGTCTTGGGCAAAATTTACCTGGGATCCATTTTCTCAGGGGGCTTAGGGGCTGCCTTTGAAGATACTTCTTGTAAAGAATGCTGGGGTGATCTGTGCTGTCAGCCTCCACAGGGGACTCTGAAAGTCTAGCACTCATGCTGGACACTGGGGGAAGACACACCAACTTTTGGGCAGCATGTCAGTGACATAAAATCCCACCGCTTCAAGCTCCTGGTTTGACTTCACTCCTCACATGATGGGTGAAGTCTGCAGCAGCAGTGTGCTGGTAGGTGGGAACATTATTAATATCAATTTAGGTGGAATTTTTTTGAACATTCCAGGCCCCCAAAATAACCTACCAAATCTGAATGTTCTACTTTTGGAGAGCAGGGGAAACCTGTCTATACACACAAATACATTTTCTTCCTTTTTTTATGCAAAAGCTTGTATATTACACATGCCGTGTTGAAGCTTGTTTATTTTTTATCTAACAATGTATCTGGGATCTTTCCCTATCAGTTCACAGAGGGGGTCCTCTTTCCTTTTGCAGCCGCACTGTGTGAGTGCATGTAACTTATTCAACCTGCCCCTACAAATAAACTCTTGGGTTCTTTCTAGTCTTTTGCTACTAGAACTTTGTACATCTATCACTTCCCATATGTGTAAGTCTAGCTGTAAAATCAATTCTGGAGGTGCAGTTGCTCTATCAAAGGGAATGTGCATTTGTGATCTTGATAGATTTAGTCAAGTTGTCAATTACAGATGTGTGACCAGTGGATTCCCATTAGAATTGTGTGAGATATCTGTTTCCCTAAGCCTTCCTAACACACTGGCTTGCCGCTTGTTCACGTGGTATGGTGGCAAATGTGCTGGGTAAGGGCATCAGCTCTGAACAAAACTGTACCTCCAAGGTGGGGGGTCTCAAGTGCAAGAGAGGCATTGGCACCTGGTGATCAAGCCCCTCAGCCAACTTGAGCTCTAATCCTCAGGCAAATCATTTAATCTCTCTAAGCCTCAATTTTCTCATGTGCTAAATGGGGAAAATTATAGCATCAAAAGTGGGGTTGTTTTGAGGATTAGGTGAGAATGATGTCTATAAAAAGGGCTTCGTGCTAGCTTGGCATGCAGCTATCGGCTATCAGAGGCTTGCCCTGCACTAACCAGCAAGGTGACCTTGGCTTAGGAGCCCCTTGGCAAAGCCCTTGTTTCCTCGTTTGTGCGAGAGGGAGCTGAACTCTTGGGCTCTCAGGCCTTCTTCCAAATCTCAGGTCTGACATGCTTTGTTTAGTAACTGGTGTGACCTCCATTCCCTTTCCTCTCTCATGCTCATCGAAGGTATTCAGGAGTCTCCAGTGCCGAATGGTCACTCACTGCCTGGCAGAGATTTTCTACGGAAGCAGATGCGGGGAGACCTATTCACGCAGCAGCAGTTGGAGGTGCTGGACCGTGTGTTTGAGAGGCAGCACTATTCGGATATCTTCACCACCACGGAGCCCATCAAGCCTGAGCAGGTATGTCCCATGATTCACTGCCCACCACACCCACCACCCAAACACAGGCCTGGTGGCCCTCCTGAAGGCGTTTGGCCAGGTATGGGTGAAATGCAAGATTCTACTCAGAGGCGAACATCTTGATGTTCTCGCTAGCCTTGACTGGTCACAGCATCTCATGGGGCCAGGAGGACACGAGGTCTGGGGCTCTGGCAACTTCTAGCTCAGTGCTTCTGTTACTCTGGCCAGCCGGGGGTGTGTGAGTGTGATTTGTCTGGCGGCTCTGCCATTGATGAGTGTTGTCGTTTCCTGGGGCCCTTTGCACAGGAGGGTGTAATGATCTTCTGGGCCACTTGAGGTGGTCTTGGGTCATTATCCTGTCAGTCAGGGTGAAGGTGGAAATATGTAAGCACTTTATGGCCATAAACCACATTAAGATGGTGCTGCTGTGTACCCTACCATCAGTTCTCTCATCAGCTCGCCTACTGTGCTTTTGGAGACTGAACCCAAGAGTCTGGAATTGAAGAATGTCTCACTGGACAAACTCGCAGTTGGGTCATTTGCAGGATAAGGAAGGAAGGAGGAGGATGACTCTGGCTGAGCAGCCTCCATCTTTGCTTCGGGGAAAGAAACAGCCATGCCTTTGGCTGCAGAGATGGGGCCACGGTCAGGTTCCCAGCGTACCAGATTCCATTCAGGAGGTGATTTCTTGACATCTAGTCTGTGAAGGGCCTGGGCTGGCATCTTGTAGGCACAAGTTCCTGCCTGCCAAGAGCTCCCATCTGGTGGGCGAGTCTAAGAGGAGTACTATGAGCAATGACTGCCCAGCACTTTGCTAGCTGATACTGGTGGTGAGGACTGGCCTCACTCTAGTGATGCTTCAGAAGTTTTCCAAAGATGTTCAAAACCGTGTAGGCTATGTGCATAAGAGGAGAGGTGCCAGAGAACCATGGGTGACAAGAATGAGCAAGGCCTCAGGAGCCACCCCCTGTGATTGTCTAGCTGCATCTGCTCAATTTCTATGAGAGTTCACACAGACCATCTAGCTGCTTTGTTTTCACATAAGGAAACTGAGGCCCACAGAGGCAAAGAGACTTACCTAAGGCCACACAGCAAATCATTATTCACTCAACAAACATTGATGAGTATCCACATGTGCAAGAAACAGAGCTAGGCACCAGGTATACCAGTGAGCACAATAGGCTTAGACCTGCCCTCAGGGAGCCTGCAGATGTGTGGAAGAGTCACAATAAATAAGAATGACCTAAAGGGTTGTGTATTCCAAATGTGCCAGGTGCTGAGGAGGGTTATGTCTGAGGTTCTCTGAAAGTGTAAAACAGGCTGAGCAAGCCGAGAAGTCACAATAGCTTCCTGTGGGAAATACACTTGTGGGGAGCTCTGAAGGGGTTGGGCAACACCAGGAGAATCAGTGTTGGGGTGGAAGAATATGCCTGACAGAGGGAATCGCAAGTGCAAAGTCCCTGAAATAAGAGGGAGCATGGCAGGAGTGAGGAAGAGAAAGAAATCCAGTGTGACTGGGCTTCAGGGAACAAGCGGGGGCAGGTATGAGGATGATGTAAAGAAGACGGTCAGGTATTGTAGATCCTTAATATTTTGGTCAGTATTTTGTTTCTGTTTTTTTTTTTTTTTAATAGAGGCATGTTTATTTATTTATTTATTTATTTATTTATTTATTTATTTGTTTGTTTGTTTGTTTTGTTTATACATGCACTGGGTACAGTCAGAAGCACAGGAGGGTGAGAGAATTCACCAGAGCCAGAGCAGGGAGCAGAGCAGGCAGAAGGACTGAAGTACACTGCTGAGGGGAGCAGCGGGCGGCAGGAGAGGTCTGCACGCCATGTGGGACCCTCCTCTGGTGGCCAGGGAGCACCCGGGGATCAAACCGGCGCCGCAGAAGCCGCGGGCAGCTTCGCAACCCAGTGCTCAACCGCTGCGCCACCGGGGAGGCCCTGTTTCTGTTTTTTTTCCCTCCTACAAGTAGAGCAGTCTTCTCTTGGAATGACGTAGTAATATAACCTGGACAGGGCCAATTCTACATACTCTAGATCCTAGGCAGCTTCCTTCACAAATGGCCTCTCCCATTGCTCAGAGCCCCCGCCCCCCCCCTTTTTTTTTTTTGGTGGGACCCTTGCCAGTGGCCGGGGATCGAATTGGCACTGCAGAGGCTGTGGGCAGCCTCGCAACCCAGCGCTCAACCGCTGCGCCACCAGGGGAGGCCCTGCTCAGAGCCCTTCTAAGGGATGGTCAAAATCACACTTCATTGGCCACAGGAGAAAGGAAAGAGATGCACCAGGAAAACTTCATTGGATGAAATCTACCTTTCTCTCTAGAATCTGGGAAAAGCTTATCTTTTAACCATTGACAAAATATATGATTTTAGAGCTAGCAGAAAATATGGAAGCAAGCTTTCTACCCCTTCATTTTTTTTTAAGATTTATTTTTATTTATTTATACATACAAGAGCTGTGGTATAGGCCAGAAATGTTGGGGGGTGAGAGGATTCACCAGAGACAGAGTGGGGAGCAGAACAGGCAGAATGACTGAAATATACCGCTGAAGGGAGCAGTGGGTGAGATAGGAGAGGTCTGCTGCGCCATGTGGGTTAACTCCCTGGTCAGGGATTGAACTCATGCCACAGTGGTTGGCGATAACTTGCTAGCTCGATAGCTTATTGGCACTGAGACTTTAACCTGTGCACCACCATGGAGGCCCCGCTGCCCCTTCATTTTTCAGAGGCCCAGAGATGGACAGGGTTGTCTGAGGTCACCCAGCAAGTGAATGTGAAAAGTGAGGGCCCAGACCTCTGCCCTCAGTCTGGCCTCTACCCCATGAAGCCTCCAGATTTATATTAAGTCCTTCTTTACTTCATTCAGACGTCAATGTTAAGAGACCACATTTCCCTCTGTGTTTCACATGATTCTCATGGAAACTCACAATGTGAATCATAAATCATTTCTCTCAGAATGCCCAGAAACATTGGGCAGTGACTATAGGGCTGCGTTGGTAATTGGGAGGAGTCCAAATGCCATCCATGAATCCATTCACTCACTTGTTCAGACACTCATATTCTCAATTATCCAACATATTTCTTTCATGCTGGCTGTGAGCCTGGCACAGTGCCAGGCACTCAGGGGAGGAGGCTGAATCAGGCATCAGGCTGTCCGCCCATAGCCTCACAGACACAGAGTGGCATAGTTTCAGGAACTGTGAGGCAAGAGGGAAGACCTTGCGGGTCCTGATAAATGGAGAAGGTGCCTGGACAGGGAGCATCCAGGAGGATGATAGAGGTAGATGATAGAGGATCCAGCAGAGGTAACATTGGGAGACAGGCTCATAGGCCTATGTAGGGATGGGGCCTGAGGGCGAAGAGCCCTGAATTATAAACTCAGCCAGGGCTCCATTTCTTGCAGTCTTGCCATGCAGTGTCCTTCAGATGAGGCGGACATGTGGCTGGCCTGTCTCTGACTGTGGGCTATGAGGCGGGGCCTTCAGGTGAACCAAAAGGCAGGATAATGACTGACTCAGTGCTTTCTGGTTAATCTGCTTCACCTCCCCATAATGTGCTGTAATGAGGAGAGATGGAAGGTGAGGCCACGGGGCTGCCAGCCACATACACAGGCACTGGACTATGAATGACATACCCTCGCTCCCGGTTCCCAATCACTTTGAACTAATGATGGCTGAGCAAGGGGCCGCAGGCTGGTAAGGGAGACATCAAGGGTACAGATTCCTTTAACTCCCCCCATGCCGGCTCTCTGCCGTGACTTGTGAGCCCCAGGGTGGCATGGTGGTGACACAAAGAAGGAGACCTGGCGCTCTGATGCTGAGGCTGGCCCCTCTTCTGTTTGTGAGCCAAGCAAGCTATCCAAGTCTGTGTCTCCAGGGTGGAGTGGCCCAGGTGGGGGCCTAGTTGTCAGTTCCATTGAGCACTTTCCGGTCTTGGAGTTGGAGCAGATTGACTACAGTCCTGCCTCTGCCCTGTTAATAAGCAAGTCACTTTTTCTCTGTACCTCAGTTTCCAAATCTGTGGTGGTGGTGATTTTGACTTTGATAACAGCAATAGCACAGCAACAGCATAGCAGTAACATTGACCTTCCTCACCTATACCTGATGCTGTACAGTTTTTGAAGATCTTTTATATCCATTTCTCACTGGACTCTCACCTGCTAAGCATTCTGGCCATGATTTGTAAGCTCCATTGTACAGATTGGAACATTTCCTCCCAGATTGTTTACCTGCTTTCAGGTGCAGGGAGTTTATCGAGGCCACAGAGCTGATATTTGACCTCAGGATCTTCTGTCTTGGTTTTTCACAAGCTGGTTACACGGGCCTTTTGTATCTCCAGTGATTGTAGAAGCTGCTTTCTGGCAGACTGGTTCTTTGAACTGACCTTTTGCACCTGGAACCTACCTGTTATTCCAGAATGCTCATTGTCTTGCTGTAAACGCGGATGGTCAAATCCTCCTGAATCACCCACCAATCTATCCTCGGAAGAATATCCCTCTTTTGGGCCAGGCTGGGGTTGAGCCCAGAGCCACACATGTTTTGCCACTTTCCTACCAAGATCTGCCCAGGCTTCTGACTTTTAAATGGAAACTTAGGGAACCTTTGGGCCTGAGTGGAAGGGGTTAATGCACACCACTCCTGTGACAATGAAACACTTCCTTTTCAAAATGGTTATTGAAAAAGCAATTCTGTTTTCCCTACATGTGGAGTGAGTAAAAATCACCTTGGAGGAGGAGAAGAGGAAAAAAAAAAAAAAAGAAACAACTGCTGGTGGTGTGTGTACACGTGTGATTCGAACAGTGGAATCTGTTTCAGTAAAACTCCCGTTGACGCTGTCGTTGGCGGGAGCGGGTGCCTCCTCCGGCCAGCAGGCAGGAAGGCTGCCGCGGAGCACAGCCTGCCGTATTTACTCTCAGCAGACTATTAACCAACACCAGGCTATTAATCTGGCTTTTGAGCCTTCACTAAAGCCCATAAAAGCTCACAGTTGTCAA